AAAATAGCCGAAACGTTTGACTTAGAATAAAGTAAATTTCTTAGAAATAAATTAATGCGTACCAATAACCACGCTGATTCCCATCTGCCTTACTCATACCTACTTAGTTTTAATAAGTAATATTTATTTCTAAATTTAGTTTCATTTTTGTATAAAAATTTCAAAAATACATAAAGAAATACTTTGATTATAGCTTACACATCAGACCATTCCTACTTCAAGATCATTTTAAGTAATGTCTTAAGATGCTAATTCGGCTTTGATAATTGATTTTGATTATCAGAAGAAAACATTTTACTAATTGACTAATCAGAAAATTCAAAGCATTTGTAGCATTAATTAATGATCTCAAATATAAGAATTGAATCGACTATGAATGCAGAACTAGACTATAATCTATATAATCCATACTGAATATATCTTCTTAAAATCCATGTTAAGTCTTTTCCTCAAAAAAAAAACATGTTTTAAACATTTGTTTTAAACACGTTTAAAACAATATAATGTTTAAAACATGTTTTAAACATTTGTTTCTTATTCTTTACGAGTCCTCTAATTCCTTTAAAATTATTTGAATTTACGCAGCCTGAAATATACTTTACATACTGTTTATATATATTAGTTATTGCAAAGAATATCATACCTTGGTAGTCGAATGGTAGAACGCCCGCCCGGCAAATATAGGAAGTTGGGAGTTCCGGGTTCGATTCCCGGCTGAGGTGATATTTTCAGCGATAAATTTCTTCGCAGATTTGGATTTGGAGGAGGGAATTCTTACAGATGCACGTTTAGCATCAAGGAGATTTAAATTGCTAGTCAATTTAATTCGTTACAAGTGGATTCCGGCCTCATGTAAAGAAAACTGTGTTTCGAGACCGACAAAAATGCGGCGCGCAATTTGCGTGTGGCTGGATATTGTAAAAATTATTACACATCAGCATCCGCGTTGGCTCGTATTGGCGTTACTATTGTTGAGAAAAATTAATCTTCGTGAATCATATATGTGTCTATCCATCTGTTCTTTTTCAGATCCAAAAATGGCAAATATATTAAACGTCGTGAATCCTATATATTTGCCATTTTTCGATCTGAAAAAGGAAAGATAGATAGATATATATGGTTCACGAAGATTAATTTTTTTCAACAATAGTAACGCCAATACAAGCCAACACAGATGCTGGTGTGTAATAATTTTTACAATATCCAGCTACATGCAAACTACACCGCATTTTTGTCGGTCTTGAAACACTGTTCTTTACATACAGTTCACAAAGATTAATTTTTTTCTTTCTTTTGAAAAAAATACTGCACGATAATTATCACGCCGATTTTCACTAGCCTAAAATATCTTAAATGGTGTTTTTTAAAATTTCATTTACGTTGTTTACTCAGGTCCCAAAAAAGATATATTTTTGTATAACTGTGTTATTCTATATATCTTAAAATAACACAAAGTTAAATTTCAGTACTCAATTAATATTCAAATTTTCAGATAAACAACAATCTTTTGGATGATCCTCGCTGCTCCTGGTGACAAAGAAAACTGAGAGAGAGAGATAGACGGGGAGAAGATGGTGTACCGGGGCAGTTTGCAGACGGACGATCCTAGGGATGCGCCGAGGCTGGTCCGGGTGTCGCCGCTGCGCAGCAGCAGGTCCGCCAATCCCGGTATGAATTCGCGTGCCGTCACGTCGGTCAAGGGCCCGATCTACCACAGCTCGTACGTGCCGTCGATCGACGCCAATCGCGCGCGGCTGATCGAGGAGAGGCGATTAGGACGCGAGCGGGACATCGAGTCGGTCGAGAAGGTGATCATGAGGACCACCGGCATAAAGATCGGCGCGCCCAAGCTGCGCAACATCAGCCAGATCCGCGAGACCGTCTTCCTGGACCAGTCGCTGACGCCGATCGACAAGATCGGCAAGCCGGACACGAGGAGCCGACCGCGCAGCGTCGTGGCCGGCCTCGAGGACGGCAACGCCCGGATAACGAGGACCCACAGCTCTCTGCTGGCGGACCTGAGGGACTTGGAGAGGCTGAGGAACACACCGCCGACGCAGCGGAATCACAGGGGCCCGTCGCTGCAGAGAACAGAATTGACGATCACCGCGAGTAAGAGGAACGACGCGCCGACCTCGGCCAAGATCCGGTCGGACATCTTCAGGATCCAGCAGATGTTCCAGTCGGCGGATTCCTCGCCTAGGACGGCGACGAGAAACAGCAGCGACATCAGGAGGATCCGGGGCGATTCGGAGAAGGAGGAGAGAAAGCCCGGAGCGGAGATCAACAGGACGCGGTTGCTGGCGCAGAAGCTTCTGGAAGCGTCCAGGAGCTGCAGTCGAGAGTCGTTGAAGGATCGTTGCAACAATCCGAAGAACGTGTCCAATAAGATGTCGAGGCACGCGAACGGGAAGGCGTTCAAGATCCTGCAGGAGATCCCGGAGAAGGAGCTGAGGGACATCAGGCATCAGAAGGGGAAGGAGGACGCGAGTTCGGAGGATCAGCCGCGTCCACCCGCTCGCAGGAGGAGAAACTCGAAGAATCGGGACTGGAAGGACGCGGATTACGCCGCGAACGGGCGCCGCGAGCTGGAGAACCGCGGGCGTGACTCCGCGCGCGGGGAGGACTCGTCGAACGGAGGCGCGAGCGCGGAGGAGAATTCTAAGGCCAGCGCTAACCTGGAAAGACCGGATATTCTGGACGGGCTCCTGAGGGAGTCCGACCGGCAGCTGGCGAACCTGAAGAGCGATCTCGGCGAGAAGGAACGCTCGCGCAGCCACTGGCGAGGATTCGTGCAGTCCATGAGGCTGCACGACGTGGAGCTTCATTCCGATAGCGAGGACCAGCGGAAAGGTGAGCTTTCACATTTCGCGCGTATGAGAAAACTGTATAATAAGAAACGGATGACTGACGTACATAAAGTCGAAGGATAAATAGACTAAACTACTTCAATACACAGAACGAGTTTGCAGGAAGGTCAAAAAATTTGGATATGAAAATAATTTTGTTAGACCAATCAAAATAATTTTGTTGGAAACTCAAAAATAATAAGCATTGCTGTAAAACGTTTTGATATTCTATATCAATCAGTTTGACTTCCCAACAAAATCATTTTGATAATCCAACAAGAATTTATATATTTTCAAATCTGTGTTCAGCAAAATTTTTAGACCTTCCAGCAAAATCGTTCTTTCCGTGTGGGCAATTTAATGTCAATATGATTTATTGCAATATAGCTCTATTAAAGAGGACACCGCGAGAGACGTTTGCTGATATCGTCCCGCATTTCCTCGATTCCGCCTTTATCTCGCGAGGACGTCTGTTGAAAATTTCCAGGTTTTATCAGTTTCATGCCCGCAGGCCGTTAAACGCTCGACGTCCGTTTGACGGAGAGGGGCGCGTTTTATAAGCCGGCAGATTCAATTAGCGACGTTTGTCGAGGTGTTTAAAATTACGGTACAACTGGCGTTCCCATTGATCCCTCGGGCACCCCTATTTTTGGACGCTCCCTCACGCACGTACGCCCGTTCGCGTTGCTACCGCAGGTCAGGGTAGTGTACCCCCATGCGGTATGCGTGTGCGTTTTTGTATGTGTATGTCCCCCTGACATATGTCCCTATTCTATGTATAGATTTAACCAGAGAAACAGAACAGACGCGCGCGGAGTGCCTCTCTTCTCTGGTACCGCTGCAGCAGTTCCGAAATGACGACGGTCGCGATCTTTTCGAGCACTACTCGGCTGTATATATAGGACCCTCTGGAGAGCCCGTACTTATGCAAATGGCGATATATAAGATCGAACCCTGTGCCCTGCATGGAGCACGAGATTTACGAGCCGAAATATCATTGCGTCTATTCGCTATCGTCATGCGCACATAAATAACATTCGTTCATCTGTGAACTCTTCGAGATTATAGAGATGCGAGGAAGGAGGCATAAAGGATTTTAATTCGATTTTAATTTATGATAAAAAAAACCCGCTGCTATCTTGATGTAACGAAATTAATTCGACAAGCTGCAGGAACTAGCCGAGAGTTGAGTGTTGGCCTTAAATCGACCGATTAGATTAGATTAAAAATTAGTGTCACTTTTCATCTGCGATAACGACGAATTGCGGTTCGGTATATAAATGCCGAAAGTGTCGGTGTGTTCTCACGGGTAATGCGCTTGATCCAGGAAATTTTCTGGCTCCCCTCATGGGTGTGTGAATGCGTGCTCAACGCGAGCGCGGCGGAATGGCACCGCGCCGCGCCGCGCCGCGCCGTCACCTTTAACAGTTGAGCGCAACGCGGTAAAAAGGTGCTCCGGCGGCAGGCGTATCTTGTACAGCTCTCTTTTATCCTAGCTAAGCATTCTTATCTGCGACTTATCATCTTACATGTAGACTCACTCTATCTCCGCTTGCATACGTGCCCGCCCGATGACTCAAGAATGTTGATACGCGCCCCGTAATTCTCGAACAGGACAGTCGAGTCGCGGCTGCATTTGCGTCGTGAAAATGCGAATTGCATGCGAAATAAAGCGTCGTCCACAATCAGATTTAAGACTTAAGCTTTAAGAAAATTGACCAATTACAGTCGATTATTCATCTCGCGCGAGAAGAATAAATTCGATTGTGATTGATCAATTTTCTTAAATATCAAGTCCTGAATCTTATTGTAGACGCCGCTTTAAATGAGACAAGAGATATTTTAGCTTAGAAAATTAAATTGGAAGTCAATTTGAATCTCGAAATTTTTTCAAATATTTAATTTCACGCACAGAAAGAAATAATAACGAAGCGAGGCGTCTTTTTTGCTTTTAAAGTTTTGCTGAGAAATGGAATACTTTTTAAGAAGATACTAGCAATATTACAACGGAAAGAACGATTTTGTTGAAAGGTCTAAAAATTTTGCTAAATACAGATCTGAAAATAATTTTTTGTTGAATCATCAAAATAATTTGTTAGAATGTTAAAACTGATAAGCATTGCTATAAAACGTTTTGATATTCTAGCAATCATTTTGACTTTTGCACGAAATTATTTTGATTATTGAACAAAAATTATTTTCAGATCTGGATTTGGCAAAATTGTTCTCTCCGTGTAGTTTTTTGTTAAATTAAAATAATCGTAATCGTGCGTGTAAAATATTTGCCAGCTACACGAATGAAAATTTTTTCCTTCTTCGAAACGTCGCGGAGAATTTCGCGTTGCGCTCGCAAAATAGATATCGTCACATTACGCTGACCATACGTAATCTTTGTGTAATGCGAAACCGACGTTCCCTTCCCCTCTCTCTCTCTCTCTCTTTCTCTCTCTCTCTGTCCTTAAAGAAGGTTCGTAAAGCAGCCACCTCGGGAAAAATTCCTGAATCAAAGGATCTCGGGTCGTCGGTGGCTGCGAAGGGGTTAATCCTTTCGCGCCGCAATGAAATACCGCGTTTACTGCTTGAACTATGCACCCATACCCGGCATACGCCATGGCTGCCGTTGCGCTCGAATACCTGGCCGTTCGCGTAATGCCGCACTTTCGTCCCGAAAGCCAAGAAGGGGGGCAAATATCTCCCTTTTGCCTCGCGGCAATTTGCATTTCTCACGCGGCGCCGCGAAAGTTTTCATATGTAAAACGAGGAGAGAACGCGACGCGCGTACAATTAACGTTCTGATGACACGCAATCCGTCCTCCTCGCGATTCGATTGCATAAACGTCGGGAAGCGCGATTATAACTTGAAGGTCAAAAGTCAAAATCAAGTTATTTTTCTTGCAAGACAAATTAATTTATTTTGTAATTTATAGATGTAACGTGTAAAATTACTATTTTCTTTTGAAAAAAAATGAAAAGGATTAATCAAGACAGTAGTTATGCGCGATACAAAATTAATTATTTTTATTAATTTGAGAAACGCAGAGGTCATCAATTTTTGATATCCTGTCTGTAGCAATTAAATTAAATTCGGAAGCGCAAAAGCTCAGGGAATATATTATCTTATAACGTGACTGTTTTATCTTTATCACTTTTTATTAGTAAAAAAAAGTTTTTCTGGTGCCAATTAGCGCAAGGATAGATTATTCGACAAGACAAATAAGCGATGCTTTTACACGCCCATGCAATATAAAACTTTTTACAACACGTTTAATACTCGTATCGCGCTAATCTCGTGTAAATTTCCCGGTCACGGAAGGAGATGGAATCGATCGCGTAAGAGCGGAAAGGTCACGTGTATAACGAATTCTAGACAATAGGGATCGCGTCGACGACAACCGCGATCGATATCATCATACGATGCACATCGTGTATCCGAATTCCTTTTCGTACGCACTCACGCACGCACGCGGTTGCACGCGTTTCCCTTATATAGGGTGCTCTAGAACCCTTGACCTGAATTTCAACTTCAGAAGCTTGGAACTGATTTTTTCCTTTGCGGAGATTTTGATAAAAGCCATCATTTACAGTGAGTTCTTATAATATAATCAACGTAGAATATTTCGGTAATTAAACTTTTATTAAAATTTTGATGAATGGACACCACTGTATCTTTTATTTGCTCTTAAAAAAAATTATATTAAGTAAAAAGCATATATGATTAATTTTTCTCTTATTTGTTTGAAAGATGTTGATATCTTGATGCTATTAAGAACAATTCCTATTATATTTAATGTTAAAGATACATACATATATTAAAGCATATAATTTATCGCTTAATAATTAATTTTTCTTAGTAAATCTTTGAGTTAGTTTTATTTTAATTTTCAACTTTTATTTTTCTCTATTTGGAAAATTAACATTTAAAATACAATCTTGATGGGATAAATGTAACTTTGAGAAAACGAGATCTCGCTCTTTATATTTATTATTTATTTATCTTCTCGGGAATCTTAAGTTTTCTCGCTATTTATTTACTCTGTCCCATCTTAGGTTTTCTCGTAAAATACCGATTCCCATGTGTTCTCCCGGCCCAGGAAAATCCGACTTCGAATTCCTTGAGACATCCGACGCGCTGAGAGGACCGCCACCCCGTACCCAGGCCCTGCGCGGCCCTTGCCCTTGAGTCTACGCCCTAATATCGATCCGAGCATCCCCACCACGGTGGGTCACATTGGCGTGTGATCCCCCTCCCCTCTTTTCCTCGACCTCCCCGCCGTCGTTGGAGGCCGTTGGTCGTCCATACATCGGTTCGGATGCGCTACATCCAGCCAGTGTAAACGTGGCTGTCAAACCGTTAACACTTTGCAGACCGATCGATCGATATAGTGTGTCGTTCGTTCAACGCCGGTCTCTCTCCGCGTTTTCCTTCTCCTCCTCCCCCTCACCATCGCGCCACCATCTCTCGAACGTCCTCCGCCTCCACTTGCAACCCGTCTCTCTCCGCAATGCCGCCCTACGTCACGAAATTTCTCAGTGCGGATGCGACCACGCGGTAGGATACACGCGCTCCGTTGCTGCCGGCGGATATGGTGCTTTGCGACGTCTGCGACGGCAAAGGTGAGGGTGGCTTCTTTCTCTTTTCCTTAATGACAGCGGGTAGGAGAGGGAGGGGAGGGGAGAAAGGGCGGTCCTGGAGAGAGCGCGAGGGTGCGCGACGTCGTTACGGAGAGGAGACTCCTTCCTCTTGGTCCTTAACTTGGGTGACCTTGGGATTCTGAGTTACTCCTCGGGGATGATTGCGTTAAAGAACCAAGAAAATTTCGTCGGGGTTTTGACGAAAATTTGCGATGAAAAAAAGGACTGACGTTCTAATTGTTCTTAGTTGTTGAGCAGCAATTACTTGTTTTACGTGATGACTCGTATTATGAATTCAAGTTTCGAAGAAAATTCTCGAAGAAAAATGCTGGAGAGTATCGGTTCTTTTTTATAACTGAACTAACAATTTAT